TAGGATTACAGGCGTGTGCTACCATGCTCGGGTCTACTTCTCCATTTTTCTCTTAGCAATACATCTTGGCTTGTTTCAGGGATTCCATTCCATGTGGATGTACTAATTTCTTTCACTAACCCCTTATTGATGGATATTGATGTTCAAATCTTTACTGTTATTCACAGTGCCTCAGTGTCTGTCTTTATATACTTGGTACACATTGGAAAAAATATCTATAGCTGTGCTGTTCAAAATGGCAGCCACCAGTCACGTGTCTATCTAAATTTAGTCAAGTTAGATAACACTGAAAATTCAGTTCCTTGGTCACACTAGCCACATTTGAAGCCATGTGGGGCTGGTAGCTTTCACACTGGCAGTACAGACAGGGAATGCTTCCATCTTGCAGAAAGTGCTTGATGAATAGTGCTCCTCTTGCTAGAGGATATGTTCTTAAAAAGGAATTAGGAAGCCAAAGGTCTGTGCATCTTATGTGTTGACAGATATGGCCAAACCTCTCCGCTGAAGAGGCTCTAGTTATACGCATTCTACCCAATGACAGCTGAAGGAGAGGAGAGCTCTTTTGTTTGAGAACAATTGTATGAAATGTAGGAAAGTACAAGAAATGTTCCCTGTGTACTGATTCCAAGGACATTCTGTTTCTGTTGAGGTGTTCGCGTTGCTTATATCAGATGCTGCTGTTCCCAAATTAATTAAGGGCACACTTGTCCCTGGGGTCCCACCTGGTGTTGTCTCTTGAAGGCCTGGCCTCTTGCCACCTTGCCAAGATCTGCTTCTCCCCAGCTCTAAGCCTCTTCTCCCCTTTGCACACCCTGACATGTGGTCCACCATGTCACAAAGAGAAAGTGATGATTCCCTCATATACTCCATGTTGCCAGGATGCCCTTTCCTGGAGACTCCACTCTTGGCCCACATCACCATTTCCTCCCTTCCCACTGTCTCCCATGCTCTCATCCTTTGGTGAATCTTGCCATACACGTTGCCAAACTCCACGGGCACCTTCCAGGGCTCGTCCTAAGTGGGCCTAGCTGACCTCTGGGCAGCATTTGCCATCCACTCTCTTTCTTCCTGAAGTGCTGGTCCCTTTGGCTTCTGAGATGCTGCACCCTCCTCTCCATGACCACTCCACCCCACACCTTTGCCAGCTTTCCTCCTGGTGGCATTTACAGACGGGGCGTCTTTCACTTGTTCTTTACTTTTCCCTTGCCAGTTTCATCCCCACTGTGACTTTGATTAACATCTCTACATTGGGGGTACGATGGTAACACCTTTTAATTTCTGTTTCCTTGATGACTAGTTAGATTAAATGTCTTTTCATGGTGTGGAACCTTCTGTTTCTTCCTATATAGAAGCAGAGTTGACACTGGATGTTAGAAACAATTCCAATCCAGATCCTGGCTCTGGCAAGGCTCTGGCACTAGCCCCTCTGGCACTGCTTGACTCTTCTGGTTATATACCTGTCAGCATCTCCACCCAGTCTCTATGTGGGCACCCTGCTCCAGCTTACAGCCTGCCTTCTGAACTCTCACCCTCTCTCCCTTGCCTCCTTGGTCCTACCTCCATTCACCCTACTAAGAGAGCCTCTCATGGCCGTCATTTCCAGAGGCTCCTTGCTCCTTCCTTTTGCTCACTTGACAGTGCCCACTTGCACATCCCCAGTGACCAGCGTGTTCCCCACTCCTCACCACCACCACCTGGACATTGTTCTGCCCCTCCATGCAGCATTCCTTTGCCTCTGAAGTTCCTATTGTCTTTTTCTTCTCTCTTCTTACACTCCTGTACTTCTTCCTAGACTCTGGGACACTCCACTTTGCTTAGGGACTTTGAATCTCATAGACCTTCTCTGTCCCTTGCCCTGGCATCAACTTTGGGGTTTCAGCATGATAACTTTCTTGGTCCACATCTTATAATACTTGACTTAAAACTATTTTATTTCAACTGAATTTTTGACACTCATGTACTTTATTTCATACTTTTACTCTGATTCTCAAGTTTCTAACCATATCCTTCTACATGCCTCCCTCTTTTTCATTGCATTCGTTGAACGTGTTATCCTCCATGTTGACTGGAAATTTTGACCTCTATTCACTTCCCTATTTAGTCTAAACCTCATGACCCCTGTTATGCCAACTAAGCCATAACCAGTAACCTGATGACCTTCCACCCCCCCTACCTTGGGTTGTGTGTGCTACTTTGCCAATTTCTAATCCCAAGTCCTTGCATTGACCCATCTGTTTGCCTTGAATGTCATTTTCTCCTAAAGGTCTTCTCTTCTGTTCCCTTAAATGGAGATCACTTGCAGTCAAACTCTAACATTTATGCCTCTTTTAAGCTTTATGCTAATTCAGCTGCATCCCTGCCTGGTCTCCATAGACCGTGAACTCCAGCATGGTAGTGATACACAGTGCCCTCAGTTCCCAGACTGTTTGTGGCTAACCTCTGTTGGCTCAATTTGGCTGAAAGGACAGTTTTTGCTTTTGGCAATGACCACTCCATCACTTTGAGCTGATAGTATCCAGATTTAACAAGCAACATGTCCTTCCAAAATGAAAAATAAAATAAAATGAATAATGGAGCCTGTGGGAAGATATATATACATTTTTTAAAAATGGGCACCTCAGAGCTAGGTTGCAGGGAGGTGATTTCTCCCTAAGTGCCAAGTGACATTCTGGTAGCAACCAGGGACTCTAGTATTAAACTGGCTTATTTTGGCAGTGATCATACATCTCAGTGTCAGTTAATGGCCTTGGCAAAAGGCTGAAAAAACACCCCATCTATGCTGAAAGAGATTGGATTCGTACTTCTGCTGTGTAGGACAGATATCTCTGGTGTAGCCAGGCCTTGTGCCACCAGCTTTAGAAGCAAAACTGCAAATATACGCATAGAAATTATCCAGTGTCCTGCTGCCAGGAAACAAGGATGCGTGTCACACACGCTTATGCCAACACTCTGCTTGTGCAAACACTCAGGACCCAAATGTGGATCTTTGCCTGAGGGAAGCACCAGTACACATTCTACCGTTTTCTCAGGACATACCTACTGCTGAGAGCTGGTGGCAGCAGGGGAATGGCAGCCTTACTTTAGGTAAACAAACACTGCCTTGCTTGACCAGTCTTCAGGGGAGATGCCTTGGTTTCCCCAAGGGGCTGGGGACCAGACTTTGAGAAGCCAAGAAGAAATGTTTAACAGTTGAAGAGAGCACAGTTTTGTTGGCCACTCAAGAGCCCAGAAAAGGTGTGCACTGACAGATCACCACAGAAAGCAGTGGGTTTCCCTGTACTTTGGAAAGGAAGGTTCGTGCAGAACTGACTTCTGGGACTTGGGCCAGGGACTTATTTCTGGGTCCAAGACCATCGATTCCTTTGGGTCTTCTGTTTCTTGTCCACGCTTGCAGCCTCTTTTTTCAAAGCTTTCTTGTGAATAAAGTGACACTTTCTCAAACTAGTGTATGGAGGATTTCTTTCAGGAAGCACAGGAACCCCCTATATTTGCTATTTGTATGGGGCCCTCTAGATTCATCCTATGGCTTGAGAGGCTGAGCCCCCAAAAACCATGCCACAGGGGAACCCCAACCAGAGACCAGCAGGCAGAAGCAGTTGAGGCACTTTTTCTTCTCTGCCAGGCCAAGCTTTGACATTCTTCTGTGACCACAGTTCTTGTCAGGTACCTGCCCCATTCTGGTGACTGTTCTTACCCTGCCCCTTAGGTCCAGGCTGGCGGCTAGGTTGGGCTCATATTAATCCTTTGTTCCTTTGTGCAAAAACAAAGGGAAAAACCTTTGCTTTTTCCCTCAATTCTGCCCAATCCTCTGCAAAAAGCCTCTATTAAGTTTTTATCCTCAACCTTTTCAACTGTGTCCTGCTTGGGGTCCTAACTTGGGGTCCAACTGCTCTAGGCCCTCTATCCACCTGAATAAAGGCCAAACCATATCAAATCACAGGGAACAAAACCCCCCCTTTTACCCATATTGTGTTTGAAATCTTTACTTTTACTTTCATAGATATAACTGCTACAGAAATTCTCACATCTTTTACTGTATAGCAGTTGTTTAAAATGTTTATATATATATTTATTTTGTCTTCAGTGCTGGGGATTGAATCCTATGCTTCATACACTCTAAACAAGTGCTCTACTATCTACACCCACATCCCCTATATGTAGTTTTATGGTAAAAAGAATATAACTCCTTTTTGGTAGTGGCTTTAAAAGTAGAAACCTCCAGTCAGGTTTATTTAGTCATTAGTCTCCAGATAGTCTTGATAGATCCTACTGAGGAATAAGATAAGGTAGAAGGGAAACATTTTTCCTTCTAAGCTCCAATCTGGGTTCCTAGTCTTTCCCTTTCTCTACCTCTAACAGCTCTTCCTGCCAATATGAAGGGGTATTTGTGGATTTCACTATGATGAGTACAGGCAGATTCTGGGGGCTCAACTGGCAGGGCATGGAGGTACACTCCACAGTGCCTTCCCCTCTGGGAAGCCATTTCAGGGAGCAGTGCTTAATGTACAGGACAGCCCATCCTGCCATCTTCCGTAGTTTCTAGAAAATTCTCTCATTTCTAAGCCCACCATTCTCCATTTTGATATACTCCCTCCTGGGTGCTGGGACTGTCAAAGTCTATGAAGAACTGCCACTTGAGGGTGGGGAATCTGTGTCTACTACCAGAATATCTGAACTGCAGACAACCATCCTGTACTGTTGGGGCTAACTTTAAGCATGTGCACTGACTGAAATCTTCTGTCAGAATCCAAGGATAGTAAAAATGCTTTCCATTTGGGGTCAAATTACAGGCCATTAGTATGAAAAGTTCGTAAGATGAGCTCTGGAAACCCTGGTTGAGGGGTTATAATAGAAATATGTGAAACCAAAGAAGGGGTGTGGTAAAGAGCAGCTCAAATTTACACTTTAACCCTTCCATTGACGGTTTCGCTTCAGTTCACAGTCTTTTTAGGAGGAAGTGGGATTAGTTTGTTACTCCAAGAGTAAAAACTCACAATTGCTACAGATGGTACAGATGGTCTTTTATTTTCACAAAGCAGAGACTGGAGCCTGGGCCTCAGCTGCCCCTTCAGCTCTCCTGTGTACGAGAGAAGCATGTGACTTGTAATTTGGCTCCCGATGGAGAGCTTTTTGCTGTCCACCTCTGGATGGAAGAAGACTTCACAGTTAGTGGGCATGCTAAAGTTAGCCCTGACAATGCAGGAGAGGTCTGAACTTGCTTGTGGGGCACATTCCCCTCTGTTGGAGAAGCCGGCAAAGGCTGTGGTATGCGGAGGCAGAGCTCGTTGTGTGAGAGCCAGACGGGTCTCCAGCAGGCCTTCTTCTGGAGGCACCTTGGCCAGGAGCTTCCTACAAGGTCCAGCTGAAGGTGAGACTTGAGGTCAGGCTCCAAGCAGGCTTTCTTCCCATTACAGCCTCCGAGCCTTCCTAGGGCGGCAACCGTTGTGTGGGATGGGGGTGTTGTCCGTGATTGAGATCACTTCTAGGCCCCCCATAGTCAGTCCTTTGATGGCAGACTGGAAGCAGAAAACAGGAGATTGGTGTGGTCGCAGAAGTGATGACCCAGGACCTCAGGCCTGGGTTGAGAGGGATGGGGTGCTGCAGGGAAGGGAGAACAGGGCTTGGGATACCTACTATCCTGATCTAATTCTACTCCCACAAAACTCTCTTGCCCAAATCCCTTAACCAATCTCTCAATACTGCCTGCTTCTCAAATCACACTGGCCACTTCCCATCTTATGCTTTATAAACTGAGGACAAAATCTTCTTGTAGAACATTGGCGCAACTTAAGGATCTTTTGTAGCTTCACCTGAGCAGTTTCCTCTCCCTGGAATATCCACACACACAGGCCTCTTCATTCTTGTAAAGTCAGAGAGATGTCCCTGCAGGGTGTGGGACCCCTCTACAGACTCCAGTGCCCTGGGCACATGCTTCACCACTGCACTCACTCACTTAGGGATCTGTTTGTGGTGGTCCCTGGGGAACCATTCCCAGGGCCCAGCACCCAGTAGTCACTCAAAAGGGTCTGATGAATTAAACTAAGTGATCTAAGTTTGTTTTGAGGGGCTCAGTAAATTATAGGAACAACAGAAAGAAACTTGAAGCCATGCCGTGGAATCCACTAATGGAGACTTTTACACTTTCTCTACACCTAGTTCTCAAGCCCCAATTTTTCTCACTAAAGCAAGCACAAGCACCATGGAGAACTGAGGTTACTTACCCAGCGCCCTGGCCCCAGGCCTTTCACCACCACTCGGATATGGGTCACACCCTTTCCTGTAGCTTTCTGGAAAGAAGCAGCAAGTGGTTAATGCCTGGGTTACTGCACCCCAATCTCTTGCTACTACCGTGGCGGGGCAAGAGGGAAATGGTACCTACAGAAGTAAGAAGTGGGGCAGAATCAGAGAAGGAAGCAAAGCAGAGATGGCTGCAGTGGAGAACAGAGTCAGCAGAGACCACAGAATGTCAAAAGTCAAAGAACTAAATTGACTGTGATCTTTTCACTCAGGATAGTATCGCCACCTAATGGATATTTTGAAATATCATTCAGATTCTTCTCAGGTTCACAAATGTAGAATTTCAGACCATGAGGTACCACCCTGAACTTCAAGACTGACTCTAAATACCCACTTAAAAAGTGTTATTTAGGGCTGGTGGGCGGGGGTGGGGGGGGAGCTCAGTGATCTAGCACTTGTCCAGCATGTACAAAGGGCTGGCACCATGAAAAATAAAAGTGTTAATTAGTATTAATTAAATTTTGCTTTCTTGATTATAAAGGCAATTCTTTCTAGAAACTGAAAAACACACATAACTTACCATGCAGAAGCCACTGTTACTTGACCTTTATAGCATTTTGATTTTTGATGATCATTATTATATAGCAATCAACATCTCTGGATATCGAGTTTTAGTTGAAGGTCAAGGTTTTCATTTGTAAGGCCTCTGTTATAGCAGAAACTATGCAGGTTTTGGTCATGGGCCAATCTAGATCCAAATCAGGGAACTGAACTGCAGCTTGGCTTTAAAGTCACACACATTCAGATTCTCAACTGGCTCTTGAAAAACTAGATAATACTAAAGGCTTTTTGAAGAATTATGGTAATAAATTAAAATTGCCTGGAACATAATAGTTGTTCAATAGCAGCACACTGACAACTTGCTTCTAGAAAAATCTACTACACTTCATGGTGGAACTGGTACGGTGTGAGTTCTCATTAAGCCACATGTTCCCCAGGTAGAGTACTATCATCCCTTCCTCACCCTTCTGGTCTTTAAATTGAAGGGTCTTTGGTTCTTTAGCCTTTAGCACCCTGACTCTTACTCCTAAAACAACCAAGTGTTTTACCTCTAATGAAGCTAAAAAAAAAAAAAAGAGAGAGAACCCTGCCACATAGACCTCTTCAAGCTACCTGCAGAGTCAGGGTATCTAACAGGGTTGCAAATTCCTCATTGCTTCTGAATGACCACGGAGAATCCTCTGCACTGATCAGTCATGCAAAGAGTGGAACACACTGAGACAGAACCACAGAGCATGTGTACTTACTGCTGCTGCAGCTATGCCCGCTGTCTGTGCTGCGATGCCTGTGCCCTTCTTGGCATTCCGAAACCCCTCAGTGCCACAGGAAGCAAAGGCCAGGGGCTGGTGAGTGGCAGAGACCACCTGAATCTGTGTGCTGGGTAAAGAAGAAGAGACAAAATGGATGTAACTATTGTTCAGGGAAATAAAAGAGACCTAACTTATGCCCTTAGAAGCCCGAGTAAGAAAGAGAAATTCATTTGCTTTATCTTGAGTTTAATGCTTTTTAAATCCCTTTAAGAAGTACTAGGAAGGGTCGAATCATCCCCTAAGCCTAATAGAAAATTGACAAGTCATATGATCTGAAGAGAGCTCCACAATCTGAGGGTGGTTAAGCATCACCAGAAGAAGTACCTTCCCTGTAGCTGGCATTTAAATTAGGTGTGATGTCCTTGTCTTAGTTTTCCCCCCTCCTAAGAAATTAGATGTTTAATTACCAGGGAATTTTTAAAGTTTTCTCGTCGAAAGTTTCAAATATGCTTTCCCTACACAAGTGAAAAGAGTACATGAACCAGGGACTCATCACTCAGCTTCAATTACCAACTCATCTCCAATTTAGCTTCGCCTATAAACCTTGTTCCTAGTCCCGTCACCAATGGATTATTATGAAGCAAATCTCACACCTATCATTTCATCTGCAAATATTTCAGTTCATACATCTAAAACAGAAGGAATACTAAAACAAAACCCACAAAACGATTGCATAATCAAATTGTCACACTGGATAATTCTTATGCTTATTATGACACTCTATTCCGTGATCAAAAGTAATTTTAAATAAGTGAAACATTTTCCCTAATTATCTCTAAAATGTTAAATTACAATTAAGAATCATTTTTAGAAATCCTAAGACATGCCTTCTGTTTCCCTTTCAGTAATCATCCCCCTATTTTCTGGTCTGGAGAGCTGCCTGGAAGCTCAGAGCAGAGGGGAGTAGAAGCTGTTGTATGGGCCTCCTCTGGGAGGCGGCCTTGGGCTTAGTTGCTTGTTGGCCTGGCTCAGCGCTGCCATTCCCCCTGCCAGGGCTTCTTGCATTTTCTATCTTGAACAGAAGGGTAAGATCATTGCTTGTTTCTGAGATGACCTCAATAGTGATGTGTAGAAAATGCCACTGAGACATCTAGGGGTGGGGGGAAGAGGAGGAGGAAGAGAAGGAGAAAGAGGAGAGACACTTACACAAAAGCATGAACCTAACCTGTGTCCCTAATAGTTTGAGACGGGGAGAGGGAAAAGGAAAAAAAATCCAGTTGCTCTCATTTCAAGTTTATTCAACAGATGGATCCTACAGCATTTCCTCTGCCACACACTCTATCCCGTGACTACAGTCTCCTGTACTGTTCTTTAAGCTGCCTGGTGGTCAGGCTGTGACCAAATACAGATTTCCAAGTGGGGGCCTGATCTGTGAGGTTGTCACTAACGCCAGCAATGTTTCTGTAGTCCACACATGACCAAACACCTTGGACATCTGTTTATATGCCACACAAGAACACCAGTCTTGTCACTCTGAATTTACTATTTGCAGGTAGCCCCTACAAGGCAAGGGTCAGTGCATAGTGGCCCAAACATTAAAGGGGGAGCATGTATTTGAAGTTTTATATAAGGGTTAGTTTATTAATAAGGTATTTATAAATCTCTCTTATTCATATTTCATCCACCCCATTCCCTAGTACTCAGCTTGAGATCCTCATGCCTCAGCCTCTTGAATAGCTGGGATTACAGGTGTGCACCACCATATTAGTGGAACCATCGTCCCTAATATAGTCCCTCCAACAACCTTTAAGCAGGACCAGGAAATATTATTCCCAAGAAGGCAAAGAGATTGTGTATTTCATATTTTCATAAAACTTAAGGAAATTTTGTAAAGACAAAAGTTGTTTTCCCCAAACAAGAGGTATTTGCCTGGGGAACCCCAGCTCTAGCATCATCACACAGCACCCAGACCCGCACCCCGACAAGGGGTGGAACAGCTTCCCTTCCCACCTACTTGTTGTAGGATGCTTTAATGTGTGCGATTGGGATCTCCTCAAATTTCTTTCCTGCCCATCTCAGAGAGCTCTCCTGGCCTGGAACTGGAGGGTAAATGCTGCAAGTAGAAAAAACATTTTATTTAAAATTGCCCTGTTTTTTTTAAATCAAAGAAATACATCACATGGTTAAAGAAATTAATAAATCAAATGGCACAGATGAACCCAGATGAAAGACAACAGCCCTGTCCTACTCTGAAGACAGCTGCCCCTACCATTCCTTTTCAATTCTTCCAATATTTGTGAACACAGTACTTCTTAGGTTTTTTTGCAGTGCTGGGGATCACCCAAGGTCTCACAAGTACTAGCTGAGCACTCTACCACCGAGTTTCATCCCCAGCCTGGGGCTACTTCTCAGCTTGTTGACCTCACACATATGGAGTAACTTTCTACTATAAGAAAAGGAAATTTAATTGATACTCCTTACCTCCTCTTGTCTCTGGTAGCATAATTATATTATTGCTTTCAAGTCCTTTATGGACTACTTTTTCTGCAATTCAAAAATAGTCAAACTTCTGTTTCTTGTTTCATCAACTCAACAATATCTTATCTATACTTTATAAAAATGAGATAAAGTAATTTTAACATTCATCATTATTATTAAAAAAATCCACGGGCTAGGGTTGTGGCTCAGCAGTAAAATGCTCACCTAGCAATGTGCGAGGCCCTGGGTTTGATCCTCAGCACCACATAAAAATAAATTAAAAAAAAAAAAAGGTATTGTGTCCAGCTACAACCAAGTATCCCCTAGAATTATAGACATTAGCACATAAGAGACAGATAAAAATATTTTGTTTGGCAGGCCAAGGGGGTTATTTATTTATTTATGGTACTGGGGATAAAACCTGATGTCTTGCGCACCCTAGGCAAGTGTTCTACTACTGAGCTACATCCCCAGCCCTTTTAAAATTTTATTTTGGAATCGGGTGTGATGGCACATGCCTGTAATCCCAGCAACTCAGGAGGCTGAGTAGGAGGATTGCAAGTTTGAGACCAATAAGTCAGCAAGGCCCTGGGCAACTTAGTGAGAACTTGCTTCAAAATGAAAAATGAAAAAAAGGGATGGGGCTGTGACTCAGTGGTTAAGCCCCTGGGTTCAATCCCTGGTTCCAAGGGAAAAAAAAAATTTATTTTGAGATAGGCTCTTGCTAAGTTGTCCAGGTTGGCCTATAGCTTGAGATCCTCCTGCCTCAGCCTCTTTTTTTTTTTTAATGTTCAATATGATTTTATTTAAAAATTTGCAAAGCTGAAGAAGGATCTGATCTTTTGTTAGAAGAAGGCCTTTTTCACAGTATATATTTAGCCTTTTTTGTTTTGTATTGAGTAATAACAGAAAAAAAAAAAGGAAGTTTCTGTTCAAGATCCTCACTCCAACCTGCCTCAGCCTCTTGAATAGCTGGGATTATAGGTGTGCATCACCATGCCTGGCTTCTGTCACAACTACTAAACTCTGTCATGCTATCACATAAGCAGCCATATACAACAGCAAATTAATAAGTATGGGTGTTCCAATAAAACTTCATTTACTGAAACAGACAACTGGCCATAATTTGCTAACCCCAACTCCAGACCAGCGGCTCTCAATGTGGACTGAATAGCAGAGTCCCCTGGGTGCATCCAAATGCTTAATGCCACCCAGACTTAAGGATGGGTGGGGCCTGGGAACCTATTTATACATACTCCAGGTGACTCAGATGTGCACTAAGGGTTGGGAGCACTGGCCTAGACATTGTGGTTGAGTTCAAGACCTTTTGGGTTTGCCTGATCTATTTTCTAGTTTTCTTTGGGTAAGTACTCTTTTATTTTCAGATGGAGAAGCTCAGATACAAATAGGAGCATAAGGTCGGCAAGAGAAGTCAGGTGGTGGACCTAGGAGATCTGCTTTAGTTGTGAGTTTTACTTACAAAGTTGTGCTTTTCACAATTTAAACACATATGGATGTCATTCAGTATTGCAGATGGGAGAAAACCCACTGTTCTACTCTGCCCATGCACTCACATCAGACTCATGTTTGTATTTCACACAGCCATGCTCGACTTTAACTACAATGAACTCTGCCACTCTCCCTCAGCCCTACTGGCTTTCCAAGAGAAACGTTCAAAAACAAAACAAAACAATAGCACATTAGTTACAAGTGTATTCTTTCCTGTGGATCTGATCTTAGAGATGATTTAGAACCTCCTCATGCTTTGGCTTATCAGTCTATATGCTGGGATGGAAATTGGGTGAATCTTGTAGATGACATTAACGTTTATAAGATGATCATTTCAGCTGGGTGTAGCGTGATGGTACCCACCTGTAATCCCACTGGCTTCAGGGAATTAGGCAGGACCACTGCAAGTTCAAGGCCAGCTGGGCAACTTAGTGAGACTGTCTAAAAGTAAAAAAGGGCTGGGGATGTGGTTCACTGGTAAAATGACCCTGGGTTCAATCCCTGTAATATGGGTGGCGGGGGGAAGAAATGATAATCATTTCCCTACTGATAATTATCCCCTGTTGACTTGGGGGTCAACAAACACAAACCTACTAAGTCTGAGTGTAAGCAGTGTAATGCCTTTTGTAGATAGAATGGTTTTGGAACTAGGAAGGATTCAGATGTTGAGCCATTTAATTGAAAGCATAGGCAAGATCAGGCATTCAAACCTCCCAGGTTCAATGTGTAAACAAGTGGTTTATCTAAGGAAGTCCCTAAACATAAAAGACAAAGCTTTTTGGTACTGGTTGCTTACCTCTTTCTATTTACACTCACACCAGGAAAATGTAGAGAGGCAAACCATTTTGTAACTGCTGCCAGAGATAATTTTTTAAAAATGCAAACAAATGTAGAAAAAGGCAAAGACCACAGCTCCTGGCTTAGTGGTCCTTAACAAAACTCCTGTTGGCTTCTATTTCTAAACATTGTTTCCTTCAGTGATCACATGTCTTCTGTTCTACTTTGGCTTCTTACTGCCCTGGTCACACCTAACCTTTGTCATTACCAATACTTGTAACTCCATCATAACTTTGGTTTCAAATACCACACTCTCTGGCAACTACCTCCTGACACACCCACTCACTTCCCCTGCTGTCTTCACTCTGGGATCTTTCAATCTCACAAGGATTTACAATCCAATAACCCTACCAGCCTTCCATTGTCCCTCACACTCCTCATGTCCCCACTTCTCTCCTCACCTAGACTAAATCTTGTGGCCAATTTCTGACAATTACTCCCTTGCAGACACTCTTGATGATGTTTCCTCTTACTTCATTGTATTCTCCTAGCAAATCCTTAACTGTGGTCAAATCCACCTTGCCAGTCATTCTGAGCTGTGCAAATACATAGCAATGCTGACTTACCTCTCTACCAGGGCTTCTGAACCTCAGCACTATTGACAGTTGGGCAAGATAATTCTTTGTTTTAGGAGGCTGCCCTGTGAATTGTGGGGTATTTAGCAGCATCCCTGGCCTCTACCCACTAAATACTGTCCCCAAGTTTTGATAACCAAAGATGTTGTCAAACATTGCAAAAAAGTCCTCTGAGGGCAAAATCAATCCCCATTGAGAATCACTACCCTATTTGAATGACTTCTAGCATCAGGTGGGCACTCAGCACTGCCTGGCAATCATCCCTAGTCCAATTACCCTTCAATTTTTCTGGATGACTCTTTTATTCCTTCTTTTGTCTCCCTAAACCTCCAACTCCTTCCTGTTTCCTCAATGCCAGCTGATGACCTCTACAGAGAAAGAGCAGCAATCAGAATTTCTTCTGGCTCCCACTACCAAACACCTGTGCCCACAGCCTTTGCCGTCTATCCCCTCACCATGTTCCACTTGCCTATTAGTCCCTCAAGGACAGTGCTCCGGCAATGTTCCACTTCAGTATTCATTCTTTCCCTTCTCTATGCATCATTCTAGCAGCAAAACATACTGTCATATCTAAAATCTAAGGAAAAACCCAAACCTCTTGAACCCAAAGATTCCTTGAGCTGCCCATTATTTTACTCCCTCTTACAGCAAAGCCTCCTTAAGGAATTAACTATATTCATGTTTTTTCCTGTCTTCTATTCTCCTTGCATCCACTCTAATCAGACAGTAGCCTCTACCACTCCACTAAACGTGCTCTTATCAAAGTCACCAGCCACCTCCACACTTGAATCCAATGTGCAATCCTGACATTTTCACCCACCTATCATATCAGTGTGTTTGACACATTGATTTCCCATTTGACTACACTAAAAACAAACAAACGAAAAACAACAACAACAAAAACTTTCTTGGTTTTCTTACTACCTCTCTGGAGGTTCCTTGTCTCTTGCTGGTTCTTTTACATCTCTCTAATCTCTAACAGACTTCATTATATCTCCATTTAGTGACTAGGCATCTCAAATTTAACCAGCCAAACCTAAACTCATGCAGTCCTCCCCATATTAATAAAATAAAAATTCCATCTTTCCAGTTGTTTAGGCCCCAAAATTTGGAGTATTTCTTCACTCTTCTTTTTCTTACACCTTATATTAACAAATCAGTCTATTTATGTTACTTCCATAGCCATCTCCGTGATCCCAACCTCCATTGTTTCTTGCCTGATTTATTTTTATTTATTATTCTAACTCCTTGCTCCCTGTGATTTAATATCAACACAGAAAATAGACTCACTTTAAAAAGTAAGCAAGATCATGTCAACCATCTACTCAACTCCCCAGTAGCTTTCCATCTCAGTAAAAGCTAAAGTTCTAGAGATGGCCTGTGAGCCCTACAGAATGTTGTTTAACATGCCTGCTGGTATCCCTACCTCCCACTGTTATAACTCCCATATTTTACTTATTTTCTATTTACTGTATCCTGCCCACTAAAATTTAACTTGCATAGAAGCAGGGCTAAAAAAAAAAAAAAAGAAGCCCTGCTTGTTTGATCAGGGTTATAACCCCAACACTTTGAATAGTGCCTGGCATTGTTGAATGAATGATTGCAACAGATTCTTGGTTTAAATCCTTTCAGCAGCTCCTTACTGTCTGCAGTGGAGAGTATGAAATCTCTAGGGTGACAGAAAATACCTTTACCATGACAGGCATGGTAGCACACAAGTGTAATGCCAGTTATTTGGAAGGATGAGGCATCCTTTTCACAGACTGTTATCTTTGCTTACAATGATCCCTTTTATCTTGTCCAGTTGAATTCCCATTCAATTCACTAAGCTTACTGTCTTACCATAATCTTGCATGATTTTTTTGGGAGTGGATACTTATTCTTTTATACTTCCAACCAGTTCTAACTCCATTATACTATTAATCAGATTATGGTGAAAACGTTTGCACATATGCCTTTCTTGGACGACCCTATGCTACTAAAGAGGGAAATGGTCTTTTATGTATCCAGCAATTAGCATTGTACTGGATGTGAGGGTAAGTGGATATGTACACTCCGTGCACATAGAAGTAGTGGCACTGCTGGGAAGCAAGGTGCCAGTTTCTAGGGCTGAACACAAAACTCACCCTGGACCTTTAATCAACTCCAAGAAATGCAGGATAATTTGTTCCATGGTGTGTCACCCCACTCTTCCCATTTTGTGTTTGAGGAGGGAGGTTGTTAATTTGACATGAAATTCATTTCAAAAGGATTAAGAGAGCTCATATTTGTTATACACAGATTCTGACATTCAGTCATTCAACCAACTAATGTTCACTGTGAAGCTACTTTGTGCCAGAGCTCATCTCATTTATAATTTCCATAATCTTGAGTATTACCCCCCACTTTAGATAAGACTCAGAGAGATCTGCACAAGGTCCCACAGATGTCAAATGACAAGAGTGGGAATTCATCGGTTTTCTGACTCTGCACGGGTGCGTATTTCCCAAGGGTTGGACCAGAAGTGGCCCTCACCTGAAGCTCTTCTGGCTCGGAGCTACCTCCTCAACTTCCGGCTTGGCCGCCGCATCTTGCAGTAACTGGGCTCCGGTGTGGACAGTCCGGGATGGGCCTCGGACTACAACCCTGTGGAGAAAGAAAGCTCAAAAAAGCCCCGGCCTACCGGCCACCGGAGCCCAAGTAACACATAAGACACTGTCAGGAGAATAGTCCTGAAGACAGCCGTAGGCTCCAGAAGGCAATCGTTCTTACCCGATCGTCGAGGTCCTCGCCCATGACTGCAAGATCCTCGACCCCGCGTTTCTCACAACCTGCATGACTTGAATTGACCCCAGTCAGCTCCGGTCGGCCGCTTCCGGCGTAGCTGGAGTGACGCCAGCACCTTGAGCGCCTGTGGTGGAGAGTACAGAAAGGAAAGTCATCTGATTGCTCTCTAAAAGGCCCATTAAGTATTTTTATTCAAATTTAAGTGCTCTATGAAAACTATAGTTACATGTTCACCTGGGACTCGCTTCCCCTTTTAATGTTCTAATATGAGAATTTCACCTGCACCACCCGCCATATAGGAATGGTTTGTTCCAATAGTTCTTGGGATAGTACTCTTCCTGATCTTGCCATGAGCGTTGCCTTATGGGAATATGGGGTTGGTTGAGGACTCCTCTTGGAGCCGCGATGCATTGTGGGAAGGGAGAAAGATGGCGATGTCCGTTAGGCGGACTCTGTCAGGTGTGGCGAGGGGCCTGCGGAGGTTCGAAAGGGTATGGGCAAGTAGCCTGGGTTCTCGCAGCCTGGTCCTTGAGGCCGCACCCTCAAAAAGGGAATCCCCATGGCGTTTGTTGGGCGCGTTGTGTCTGCAGCGACCACCGCTCATTTCCAAGCCGCTGACCCCATTGCAGGAAGAGATGGCAGCTCTGCTACAGCAGGTAGGATTGAGACACAGGTGCAAGGGGAGGTAATAACGGCTCACGGGCCTTGGTTCCATTCTGACTCTGGCACCATTTAGTCTGTGTGATTTTGATCAAGACATTTCACTACCCTGAACTTCCGTACACTTGTCTGCAGGATGAAACAAATCTTATTAAGGTGGGTTGGTACGTAATGGGCGTTTAACAAATATTTTATTTTTGATGGCCTTATTATTGTCAGTTGGGGCAGTTTTTTGGAGATTCTTTTTTGTTCATTCAGAACAGTAGGGATCTGGTCGCGAACAAGAATCGATCCTTGTTAAAAGGAACTCATAGATTGGAGGGGATACAATCTTTGTGATGTGAAGAGTGTTTAGAATGAAGTATAGGAGACAGTGGGCACATCTGTGAGATGCCTGCGATAGAGTCTGCTCTGTTTTACCTCACCGGGTTATTTCTGTGAAGGGCAAGGGAGGAAATACGGGTAAAGGCTGAGTGTAGTGGCTGTGAAGATGTTAAGTCTCCACATACAGTGATTAAAGGGTGTTAGGTTTCCCCAGAATCTGGGATGTTTTGTCTTAGGTTACTGATAGCTTTAAGCTTTTATTCTGTGTTTTTTGCTAAATTTATTAATTTTCTCACTTGGCATATTCATACCCTACAGATGTTCATAGCATATATCAGACATGTATTAAATGGCAGATATGCAGTAGTAAGACAGGAGTAGTTCTGGTTATCAGAGACCTTGAGTTCAGTGGAGTAGGGGAGAGAAGTCAATAACCAAATAATCAAATGACTGTTTGCAGATTCTGATAAATATTTTAAAGGAAAACGGTTCTATGAAAGTGCTTCACAGGGACATCTAAATTTTTATTTTATGGGCAAGCTAAGGAATGTCTCTCTGAGAGAGTGAAATTTAAACTGAGATCATACAAATGAGTAGAAATTCTTCTAGGAGAAAAAAGCAAGGGAAAACACTCTAGGAAGAAAGGGCAACTTCTGTAAAGTCCTTGAGGCAGGAATGTCCTTGATGAATAAGGTGATGATCAAGGACTACCACTATGACTGGAGCATGGTAAGTAGGCAGGCAATGCCTGTCCCATTCCTTTGTTCTTTGCAGCAGTTTTGATCCCCAATCACATTCTGACATTTTGGCAAATGTAACTTATGCTTAAGTGCAGGTGACCTTTTTTCTTTGTCTCTGTTTTCTCTCTGTTCAGTGTTTTAATTGTATGTCTAGTAATATTAAGTGATAAACTTCTGAGTCTATCAAGGATGCTATAACTTTGTTATATTCTCCTAGTTTTGTTTGTCTTTTTAATTTTCCTAGATAGAGATAGAAAACAGCCTATATTCAGACCATGAGCTTCGTGCTTTAGATGAAGCCCAGCGACTGGCAAAGAAGAAAGCTGATCTTTATGATGAAGAGCAAGATGAAAAGGATATATTGCTTGTGCAAGATTTGGAAGATATGTGGGAGCAGAAATTCCTACAGTTCAAACCTGGAGCTCGGATAACAGGTATGATCTTTTTAGTCTAAAAAAAGAAGTGAAAGGGGTATTCTGGTTCCCAAATATAGGACAATTACTTAGCCTCTGCTTTGTGTTTTAACTAACAATTTTTTTTTTTTTTTTTTTTTTTTTTGGTACCAGGGATTGAACTCAGGGTTCTTAATCACTGAGCCATATCCCCAGCCCTTTTTTGTAATTTATTTAGAGATTGGGTCTCACTGAGTTGCTTAGGGCCTCGCTGAGTTGCTGAAGCTGGCTTTGAACTCATGATCCTCCTACCTCAGCCTTCTGAGCTGCTAGGATTATAGGTGTGCACCGACCTAACAATTTTAAGTTACAAAACAACTTTGAGGAAAATAAATTATTTTCCCAATTCCTCACATCTACCCTAATATGGTTTTTAAAAGGCCCATGTTATTTTTGAGTGGAGGTGGGTAAGAATGTTGGGGTAGCCTTTTCTCTTAGTTAAGCTTTATGAATGTTGTCTGAGTTTAACTCCCATTCTGGGACAGAGAGTGGTTTAAAGTAGGCCTTTTTCTTCTAGTTCTGTGTTTTATTGGAAATTGCTCTTTAATTTTTTTTTTTGTAGTTGTCAGCATGCCTTTATTTTATTTATTTATTTTTTTGTATGTGGTGCTAAGGATCAAACCCAGTGCCTCACACATGCTAGGCAAGCACTCTGCCACTGAGCCCCAGCCCCAGCCCTGGAAATCACCTTTATGGACGGGGGTTCTATTGTCCTTGTTTTACAGATGCAGGCTGAAGAACAGAGAAAGTGTGGGTTAGTTAGATCAGTAATAGTGTTAAGTTGAATTAAGCAGTTGTGTTTGAGTTATGGTTGTTGCTTCTTTTTTAAAGGCTCAGAGTATGTTTTACTTTGTAGATGAGTTCAACTCTTGGTTTCCTTTTTTTACTTTTCAGTTTCCTTAAGAGTATGAGACTATACCCTGAAAGAGGTCAGAATTAGAATTAAAGAGATGGGTCAAAGGGGAAATTTGGCTATAATTTCTTTGAGAGAAAGGATTATGACATTCCCTTAAAGAAAAACTTTAAAACTCAAAGCTCATTGGTCCCAGATGATCACAGCCTTCTTGCTTTTACTCACCCCCTTTTCTTCATAGAAGCTGATAAAAAAAATGACCGAACCTCATTGCACCGGAAGCTAGACAGGAACCTTATTCTGTTAGTCAGAGAGAAGCTTGGAGATGAGGATGTTTGGATGCTGCCCCAGACAGAATGGCAGCCTGGGGAGACCCTCCGTGGGACAGCTGAGCGAACCCTGTCTGCACTCTCAGGTGAGTTCCTCAGAAACCTACAAGATTCACTTCAGACTCAACCAGATGATTTATAGGCTGATTGTGATAAAGGGCTTAAGAGTAAGGAGTGGGAAGGTTAATGGATACTGATGTTTATAAAGGGTTATTCTGTAGGATGTTTAGCAGTATTTCTGGCCTCTGCCCACACAATTCAAAAGCACAACCTCATTCCTATTCCCATCTACTACCAAAATTATATCTACACACTGTGAAATGTTACCTGGAGAGCAAAATTATAGTGGTTGGGAACCATTATACTAGATGGTTGAAGGGGATGCCAAAGAATTTCCCCTGCTTTTGTGTCATACCTTTCCATGCTGCTAGCATGAGCTTCCTGAAACACAAATCCCTTGTCATGCTTTGCAGAGAATTCTTTAAAGGTTGTTCATAGAAATTCAAATTTTTCAGCATAGCCTAAAAATCCTTTTTGCTGTGGTCCTGATCTTGATAGTCTTCTGTCTTGCTGAGTTCATTATATTCCAGGTTCTAACCTAGTAAAGCTTTTACATTCCTTGAATAAATAATGTAGTCTTTTGTATGTTTCTGCTTTAGGGCATGCTGGTCCCTGGACAGAATGGTTTTGTCCTCCATTGCCTGGCTGCTCAATTTGTAAGACTTAGCTCATATGCTGTATACCTTTTGTAGTGGAACCTTCCCTGAGCTTCTAGTTAGAGAGAGTGCCTCTTGCTCCTGGGTTCCCACAGTGCATGCCTGTGCACTTTATACAGAAGACCAGACATTTACTCTGTGCTTTCCATCATCTGGGTTCTTTCCATGCAATGGGGTCACAGTGATGAATTGGGCACTATCCCTGTTCTCTAGGACCTCATTTTCTAGTGGAGAATATACTCTCTCACATATGCCATTGCACTATAATTGTTTATTATATACTATATTTCTTTCCCCAACCAGAATTTTGAATTTCTCGAAGTCTGGCCAGTATGTGTTCTTTTTTATGATTTCAGCTCCCAGTAAAGTAGGTGCTTGCTGAGTGTTTGTTGAGTAAATGGATTTTGTGGTGCACAACCACTTGACAGACCTGCTGCCAGCATAAGACTCCTCGCAAAGCATTAGCAGTGTATGCCCCCTAACCCCTTCCCACCACGGTCCTCTTTGGCCTATAGGAGACAGCAAGGAACAATGGAACGTATGAAGCTTTGCTCCTCTCAGTCACGCAGCTGTCACATTGAAACTGATAGCTGGGTTTCTTGCCAGAACCCTTGTGCCTGATGTTTTGCATCAAGCCACTGTGACATATCTGGTCAATTCTGTCTTCTGTGTGTCACATGGAAGGGGTTCTTATTTGGTCCTACTCTTCCCTCTTTTTCATATTCCCATTGTAATAAATATATGTTAAGGGAAATATATAAATGATACTAAAAGATGTTTATATTATTAGCTGCATATAAAATATGTTGATTTATTGCAAATGTCTACACAAACTAAAGTAGCAAATAATAGAAAATAATTAAAAAGGCAAAGAAAAGCTCAAACAATATGTGAGAAAAGTGGAAATACATTCCCCGCTGACTCCATACTTCCAATATCTGCAAGATGGAATTTCTAGAGGTGGAATTCACGGGTGAAAGGTATGCATACTTAAGTTTTTGATAAGTACTGTTTACTTGTCTCCTAGTAAGTAGGTAAGTAATAGTTGACATTTTCAGTATATGGGAATGCCAGTTTGTCTAGACCTCAACAACACATGAAATAGTCCCTTTTTAGTTTTTGCCTCTCCAGTTAGTAAAAATCATCTCTGTTGGATTATTTTCAGTTTATTAGTGAGATTGACTATCTTTTCACATGTTTATTGGCTATGTTTTTCTTTAACTGCCTATTCAGATCCTTTGCTTATATGTATAATGAGCTATTTTTATCTTTTTGATTTGCTTCTTTTCCAGATCATAGAAAGGCAACATGCATTATTGAATTAAGTTTGGAAAATTCTGAAAAGTGTAAATAAATAATCTAGTATGATTCTACCACAGATATCTGCTGCAAGATTTTGTATTGTATGTGAATTCATACCATATATAAATTCTTCATCTAATACTAGTAGTGCTTTTTTAAGAAAGAACATGAGAAAAGCAGTTCATGTGTATGATGAAAAAATTACCAAGCAGTATTTGGTAAATGTGGTATAAGAAGTAATTTCCCCTTTTCAGAGGCAGCCTTCAGTAACAGATTTTTTTATGTGTATTCTTTAAGAAATTTTCTATGCATATTTAAGCACCTAAGTATTTTATACTTCTGTTTTTCTACATAATGGAAGCATATACACACACTTCCTTTTTCCTTACATAGTTTTTTAACATTTTTCCAGATCAATTTATGAAGACTAAGTTTAAGTGTTTTTAACACCTGCATACTGTTTCATAATACATTGATACTACCTTGTGTAAAAAGTTCGTTGCTTTTACAAGTGAAGCTGCAGTGAACATCCTTGGGTACTCATCTTTGCTCACATGGGCAAATAAGTTATGTTTGGGAAGATAAATTTCTAGCAATGGAGTGGTTTAAGTGTATGTATGTATGGTTAAAATTGATACTTCTTGCCAAATAATGGCAGTTATATTCATTTATATCCCCATAATATATTGAAGGTACCAGTTTTCCCCAAGTAGAGTATAGATCAAACTTTTTAAAATTTATTATGGTAAGTTTCAGTTTATTTATATGGGTAATGGTATTTAATAAATATAGTATAAAAATTAATTTTACAATTGTTTTTAGTATCTGTATGTGATTGATTCCTGACCCCACCCTGCCCCTAGATATGAGAATCTGCAAAATGTGCCAAGTTCCTTCTACAAAATAGTGTAGTATTTGCAAGTAACCTGCGTATATCCTCTTGTGTGCTTCAAATCATCTCTAGATTACTCACAATACCTAATATGATGGAAATGTTATCTAAATAGTTGTTATACTATACTATTTAGGAACTAATGACAAGGAAAAAAAGTGTGTATGTATTCAGTACAGAGATAATTGTTTTTCCCCCAAATATTTTCAACCTATAGTTGGTTGAATCCATGGATTTAGGACCTGACTGTAATGATATGCTATTATTGTTTTAATTTGTACTTCTTTAATTATTAATGTTTATTTTCATGTGAAGTTCCTGTTCATATTCTTGGTTCATTTTTCTTTTGAATTTTTTTTTCCTCATTGATTTCTAAATTTTTTTTTTTTTTTTTTTTTGAGACAGGATCTTGCCCAGACTGGCCTTGAATTTATGATTCTCTTTCCCCACTCTCCTGAGTTGCTGCTCTCTTAAGTGTTTCTTCTATCTATCTATCTATCTATCTATCTATCTATCTATCTATCTTTCCCCTCCCAGTATTGGGGTTTGAACCCAGGGGCGCACTACCTTCAGACTCCCCTTTTTAAAAAGTTTTTTTTTTTTTAGTTATCAGTGGACCTTTATTTATGTATACATGGTGCTGAAAATCGAACCCAGTGTCTCACATGTGCTAGGCAAGTGTTCTACCACTTAGCTACAACCATAGCCCTTGTCTTTGATTTTTATGTGCTTTGTTTTTTTTTTCTTAGAGAAAGATTTAGTTTTTATTTAGACAAATATAAGTTTTTATGTATTTGAATTTTTTTTTGTCTTGCTTATAAGGGGCTTCCTTTATCAATAATGATTCAGGAAGTATTCCACATTTTCTTCTAATGTGGTTAGGATTTTCTAAATGAAAAACTTAAGGATTCAGAAATAATTAATTGATCATGAAGCCATCATCTGGAATGTACAAATCTTTTACAGAAATTTGAAATTTCTGCCAAATCTTTAATTTACGGTATCAATTTTGATACGAGGACTGAGTTTGGGATCTAACTCTGTTTTTCCATTTAGCTAGCTAGTTAATCAGATGCTATGTAGTAATTAATCCATCATTTCTTCATCCCTTGAAAGCTTGGCTTAGGGTTATTAACTCTAGTTATAGACTGCAGAAACTGTCTACAAATCTGGGGATCTTTTTGTGCTTTGCACATGATATCCCTTTTAAATGTGGGCGAACTTTGCTTTTTAGATACGAAGTGTCCTGGTTCTTCACTGACAGGTGGTGAATGGACTGAATGTAGTGTCTGGCTGTTCTGATTCCCAGATAGTGCTACTTTAATTGCATTGCTGACTTACAGTCTAAAAGTGGTAGCTTGGCATCTGGGAGTGATCCAGAGGCTATCTACTTCAGGCCAGAAAGCATTTGGATTGAGAATGAGGAGGGTTTTTGCTGGAATGGCCCTTGTCTTCATTGTTAGGAATGGTTTTTACCTCAGGGGAAAAGTGACTTTCCTAGGGACATCCTGTAATTTGGGGATGAGTATAACCTTATCTTTCAATTCTGTTTTTTTTTTTTTTTTTTCTTTCTTCTCCCTTAGAAAACAACATGGAAGCCAAGTTCCTAGGAAATGCACCTTGTGGCCACTACAAGTTCAAGTTCCCCCAGGCAATGCGGACAGAGAGTAACCTTGGGGCAAAAGTATTCTTCTTCAAAGCACTACTACTAAGTGGAGACTTTACCCAGACTGGGAAGAAAGGCCGTCATGTTTGGGTCAGTAAGGAGGAGTTGAGTGACTATTTGAAACCACAATATTTGACCCAGGTTAGAAGATTTCTTTTGGACCTCTGATGGACTGAGCTGCCTGTGGATATTGCTCAGACAAATCAGGGGTTAGAGCTTTAAGGACATTTGTGTGGTGGCCCCATATTTGCAGGGAATATCAAGCAGGAAACTAAATTCTGAGAATTAAATGAGTCTGTTATTATGTTGTCTCAGCTGATTTGCTCTTTGAAGATGCCTGGTTCTTCCAGTGAAGAGGGGGCCATCTCTTAGGATGCCTTTCTATTTTCCCCAAGCTGATAATTGAGTATTGTATTACTTTATAGTGAAGTAACTGGCCTACTGGGTTCAGGAAGAAAGAACAGAAGGATATGAATCAACCTGAAGCCTTAAGTTCTGTGAAAACTTCTAGGCCCATGAGAAAAACCTGGGTTCATAGTCATTTTCCATTTTATTTCCCCTTTCTTTTCCATTTGATATGAAAGAATTTTAATTTTGCCTAGGAAATAATGCCTTCTTTTCCCTCCTTTCCTCTCCCCATTCTTCCCTTTCCTTTCCCTTTGTTTCTCTTTCTTCCATAAAGCATTTATATTTAAAAAATAATTAATTATGCCTTAACCTGTTTTGAAAACAGTCATGTGAAATAAGCAAGTTCAGCTTATGTCCATTCTGCAAATGGAGGAACCGTGACCATGGTGTAACTTGGCCCAGAGTCATGCTGCGCATTCTTGATGGTGCTAGAGAATGGTGATCCCTTGCTTTTAGTTGGGGCTTTTTGACTATTGTTTGTTGCTTGTGTCACCACTGGTCTCCAGTGCCTGGCACATAGAAGGTACAAATAAATATTTGCTACATGAGTGCAGGAGAGCAAGGAATGAGAAACATTTCCACCCAGAATAGCGGTTCCAGTAGGAAGACTATGGTCCTAAACTTTTCCTGGTTTTCTCTTAGACCCTTTTAGATAAACAGACTGGCTGGTGTGATGTGAACTTGTGAAATGAGGTTTCTATTTCTGCATCAGATGTAGCCTTGTGTTCTTACACAGGGCCAGGGAAATTGCTTTCTGTGATCACAGCAAGGTGTCTAGTACTTAAGTTCCTCTCCTTGCCCTGTACCTTATTACTGAGGGGAGATGTCCTCTAGGTGAGGCTTGCTCATCACCAGCAATAGTGGCACCTTGGAGTGAAGCTTGAGCATAGCCATAGGACCAGGGTGCACTTTACTGGATTCTAGAGTGTGTTGAGTACATGATCTCTGTTGCCCATTCTTAGGGCCTTAGGCACCTCCAACCTAGAAAGGCAAAAATCATTTAGGTGAATTGGCAATTATGTTCATAAGCATGCATGGGCTGGAGATGTTAGTGGTAGAGCACTTGCCCATGTGTGAGGCCCTGGATTTGATCCTCAGCACCACATAAAAATCAATAAATAGAAGAGAGGTATTGTGTGGGGGGGGAAGGTTTGCTTGTTATAACATTGTTTAGGTGTTTTGCAGTGTTGGGGATTAACCCTGGCCCTAGATCTAGGCAAGTGCTGTACCCCGAGCTATAGCCCCAGCCTACAACATCGTTTCCTTAGTGGGAAATAGCATGTGTGTAATGAGTAAGGAGAGAGATGGTGTCAGAAGAAGCTGAAATTCTGTTAGTTCCTGTAAGATTTCCCCTGGAACATTTTGAGATCACATACAAGATTGAACACCTTTGAAAAAAGGTGAAAGTTTTATAGAAATGTCATCCTTTTTTGCAAATAGGAACTGGTTTAGTAGCTTCAGGAATCACTGATAGCCCTTCCACTGTGTTTAGCTGTCTTGGGAAACTGAGTGAAAAGGAGGAAGCTGTGAAGATATTCTACTGCCTTTGTTTTATTTATTTATTTGTTTATTTAACTTTAAAATTGATGCATTATAATTTATACATAATGGTGGTTTTCATTATGACATTCATATATGCACATAACATAATTTGCTCAGTTTCATTCCGTGTACTCCCTTTCTTTTAAAAAAATTATTGAAGAGGGCCCCATCCTGGACCACATTTTTAATTTTGATGGAACTGATTTCTACTAGGACCTATATCTCAGGAAATGGCACATGCCCAGGATTTAAAGCCAGGGACTAGTGTACATAGTTGTTGGGATTTAACTGCATTATTAGTCTCATTGGGCTTGTTTATGCTCTGTTAGCCCTCTGGCTACAAAATTCCATAGGTTTTAGGGGTCTTCCCCCAACCCCTTTTCTGTTATTTTTGAAATGTGATTTTGCAGAATGTAGGATATTCAGCATTGTAGTATAAATGACTGTTTGCTGATTGCTAGCTCAGACTTTCCACTGACTACCGAACATGACCAAAAATTGTTTCTACTGTTTCTTTTGGGAGAAGATGACCAGTGACAAAATAAGAAGTGATACTCTCTGTGGAGATGGGTGCCTGCCTTCAAAGCAAACTGTGGGAGGAGAGTGGTGTGGGTGGTGTGGTGGGGATTAGGAGTTGCAGTTTGAGGTGTGTTTGTGCAACCTAAAAATAGAAGAGGGTGTGTGTGTGTGTGTGTGTATGTATGTATGTGTATAAGACATAAAATGCCATCCAACTCACTAGAAAGATCCTCCAGAGATGTAGGTTTAGACCTCCACTTCATCATTTCTTTCCCAGATGATTTCCAGTCACTTTTTTTTTCTTTTGGTGTTGGGAATTGAACCCAGGGGTGCTTAACCTTTAACCACTGAGCCACATCTCTAGCCCTTTTTAAAAATATTTTATTTTGAGGGGCTGGGGTTGTTTCTCAGTGGTAGAGTGCTTGCCTTGCATGTGTGGGGCACTGGGTTCCTTCCTCAGCACCACATAAATTAATAAAATAAAGATAGTGTGTCCATCGACAACTAAAAAAATTTTTTTAAAAATTTTTATTTTGAGACAGGGTCTCACCAAGTTGCTTAAGGCCTTGCTAAGTTGCTGAGACTAGCCTCAAATTTGTAATCTTCCTGCCTCAGCATCCTGAGTCAGAGATTACAGGTATGTGCTACAGTTTCTGGCTCTAGTCACTCTTGACCCACCTTTGCTGGTACTGTGGAGAAAATACTACTGCACTTATAAATTTGTTTTCCTAGTCACTTGCCCTCCAGGTAACCTCCTGTTGGACCAGTTCTTCACCTAGTATGTGTTTCTACACTTAGCATTTCATAGGGTAATTAGTCTGACTCTCATATCTAACTGAACTTAAAAACTACATTAGTTAATTACCTTCTCTCCCCATGAATATCCAACTGGGAGTCAGAAAACTAGGGTTTGAATTTGTTTTATGACCTCGGGAAAGCTATAGCAACTATTACTATTAATGGCATTGGAGTGACTCCTTAGGATCAGGGATGGTGTGAAAGCCCTTACCTACAATGAAAATTTTTATTTAAACCAACAGGGCAGCTATCATTATCCCTGTTTTATTGATGAGAATAGATTCATGTTAACTTGCTTAGAATTACTCCCTAGTAAGTAATGAGGCCAACTTACATCTGTGAACACACCTGTCTTAACTTTACCTTTCTCATTTGTAAAATGAATTTGCTACTTCTCAGGTAATGTGATGATTTATCTGAAAGTGCTTAGCATGGCTTGTTGTGAACACTCCATTTCATTTCTTCCAACATAGTTAGGCTTCCATATTCTCTTGGATTCAGCTCTGTCTATAGCTTCTACAACTCTCATTCTCACCTTCTCTAGGTTATGCATCATGGCAACCAAGCATTTCTGACCTGTTTGGAAAGGGACGTGGGTAATTAGGACATTAATGGATTCCAACAGCCAATCTTGAAATGGGTTTGTGGCAGGTCAGTCCCATCACTACATCCAGCTGCTTGGACACTTTCACCCTGTCCCACCCTGGGCCAGGAAACCCAGAGCCACTGTTGGGCACAGGCTTATAGGGCACTAAAAATGGAATAGACCTGCTGACCCATTCTGGTACCTTATCAGGGGGAAAAAGGAGGACCATCGAAAGGTCAGCAACCCAATTACTAAGAGCTTATGGATTGTTAAATTGCAAGCACACACCACAAGATAAAGCTCGTTTGCCTGAAATCTCAGGACTTTATTTCCCTAGAAGCCCTTGGAGCCTGGATTATGGCCAGTCACTTTAGACTGTCAGTTACCTTTCACCTGCCTTTGAATTTATTCTCAAAACACGAAGTGAGGGAGTGAGCTGCTTATCCCCTGTATCCAGGAGAGGTATCCAGCACATGGGCTGCTGTAAGGCTCAGTGATAGGTGTACTCCAGATGGGATTGCTGGGGTGGGACTGAGGTCCTCACGAGTGAAGAATGGGCATGACAAAAGAGGGCATTACGAACGTAGAGCAAGGAATGGGTACACAGCATTCCTGTGCATGCATACCCAAGTCCTCAGCTACCCTACCTTAAGCAGTCCTGAAGTAGACTGGAAAAGCCAGCAACAGGTTTTGTACAAAGGCTTTGTAAGTACAGACATACCATTGATCACTGAAATAGCAGATCTCTGGGGTCCTAGTAGTGCTGAGTGACTGAAGAAGAGGCTCAGGTGGTGGGGGAGAGAGACCCCTCAAGTTCTCCTTGGCCCAGAAAACTGTCCTAATAAAGTCAGATGAGGAGCCCTGAGAGGAGTGCCCTTTGGAAGTTAACGGGCTGATAGATGGAGTCAAGAACATGCTGAGAATAGGGGATTTGGGAGGACACCTGCAGATCAGGACACTTTGAGGTAGTAGAGCTGAGAGTAGAGGATACCTGAAACTGAGAAACCCCAAGAGGGTGGAGGGTCAGGGCAGGGTTTCATGATTGGTGGGTGGGGCCATTTTTGTGAGCACCACAAGGTGGCAGCACTTGTCTGTTGGATGCAGCAGGCTGTCTCTGGAACCTTCACTGCACCTGGTCCTGGCTGCTCTATTTGAGCAGATTCTTGCCTCAGGCTGGGTGACATCTTCTGCCCTGCCTTCTAGGATTGAAGCTAGAACACAACCAGTCAGAATGGATTTAGGATTTTTGTGACCATCTCTGAGAGTGCCACAGACATGTTCTGTCCTCAGGATGGGTCCCACACATTGGGACCACTTAGTGTAGCCTGGTGCTAGCCTGCCTGTCCACACTGTCTGCCTCACTTAATTCTTACATCAGCCCTGTGTGGAAGTTTTTATTCTTACTGTTTCTAGATCAGCAGACCAGTTTAGGGAGGTGAAGAGACTCCATGGAGTTCACGTAGTCAACGTGATGGAGCCAGGATTTAAATCCAGAGCTGTATGATTCTGAAGGCCACTCCCCAGCCCCCAATGTTCCCTGATGCCTGGACACTTACTCTTTGTATCAGAATCCCTGACTGGTCATCTGGACAACTTACTGCAGGCTGAGGGACCCCTGGAAAAGCCTGAACTGGGGCAACTTTAAGAATATGAAAAGGATTTGGAGTAGAGAACTATGAAGCTCGGGGGGTTGAATTTCTTGAACTTGGAGAAGAGACTGATGGGAGTCATGGGCTTCAGTGTATGTACTGTAAATACAGGGATGTCATTTAGTCATCTTTGTCTGAATTACAGGAAGTAAGCCTAAAATACAATAGTAGGAATTTTGAGAAGTTATACATGGAAAGAACTCCTTGGACATTGAAAGGAATTCTCGAAACATTCTAGTTACCTTTCTACAAACACTTGTGGAGGAGGTGGTTTTACTACTAAGTACTGGAGATAAAATAGTGATCACAATACTTCTGGTCAACATCCTTATGATGGTTCAGTGCTGAGGGTTGGGGCAGAAACATGGGACTGTGTGCTGGACACTCCATCCTGTCTGGCCCAGGGAAGGCCTCCCAGGCAGTCCTGGCTGAGCTGAAGTCCTGAGCTGAGATCTGAAGGAGGCTGAGGCAGGAGGATCACAAGTTCTAGGCCAAGATCAGCAACTTAGTGAGATCCTGTCTCAAAATTGAAAAAAGGTCTGGGAATAGCTCAGTGGTAAAATGCCCTGGACCCAGTCTCTAGTACCACAAAACAAAACAGAACAGAACAAAAGAAATACAGTGTTACATTGGTAAGTGGCCTGGGCCCTTTGGGAATCTAACATGGCTAGTGTTTCCTCCAATCATGGAACCAAATGTGGTTTATTTTAGCATAGGATTAACTGGTTGGCTTTTTTTTTTAGGAACCATGATGTATAAAATTTTAAGATTCCTGTATCTGTAACCACAGTTAATTGTGAGTCTATGCCTCCCACCGCTAGAAAGGCCTGAATTTGGACATTTGGGAAAATATGAAAATAATCACACGGAGAGAATATGAAGAGAATCACACAGAGTTTTGTGAAATGCTCACACAAAAAGAGACTCTTGGGACTCAAGATGGAGTTGCTTCAGCCATCTCAGGCTCACTCCAGGAGCCTATGGAAGAGAATAGTGGATGAAAATATTGTTTATAACATTACTTATCTTACTTTAAAAAATTCCAGTCTAATAGCTTGAATTCATAAAAGTCAGATGTGCTTATGAGGTGATCCTACAGGTTCTGCAGTATTCCTTGGTTCCTGGTTGTTTGCATATCTCCTGTACACTCTCGCCTACAAAGCTTCTTATCCATCAAGGAGGTTGTGTTTTAATCCATATACCCAAAGGAGGCTTGGCCACAAAGGTGACAAAGTCGTTTTGTTTCCCCCTTTGGGAAAGGTTCTTAAGCCAACAATGGCAGTCATTTAAGTGACTAAGTTGCATCACTGCAGCCTCTGCTAATAAAAGAGTATGTGAGGGCTGGGATTGTGTCTCAGTGGTAGAGCACTTGCCTAGCGTGGGCGGGACCCGGGTTTGATTCTCAGCACCACATAAAAAAATAAAAAGGCATTTTGTTGTGTCCATCTACAAAAAAAAAAAGATTCATATTCTCCCTCCCTCCCCCCTCCCCTAAAATTAAAAAAAAAAAGTATGTGATTATGAGAATTGGTTGGAATTTTTTTTTTGTTCAGCACAAGGACTCTGAAAGCAGGTCTGAAGATTTCACTGTGCCATGGCTGAGACAATAAAATAAGAATTTAACTCTTTAAGGGACTCCTTTGAAGCAGATACACTTGGATGGAAAAGTATGTTTACAAAAACAAATTTTGTTTTCTGGATGTCACACCTCTTGTACAGCCTTCTCCGAACACCGTCCTCTTAGCCATTTTGTGTGCAAAAAGCTATTTTGTGAGCAAAAAAGTTTACTATGCATATCTATCCTCCAAGATGCATGGCTGCATTTTTCTGCCATGTATATAGGGAATGTTTTTGCACACTTGTACATTTTTATCCCCACTTTTTCTCAAAAATCTCTCTCACAAATCTCTTATTCATACACTCTTGAGCATCATGTCACACAGCTTTGATCATTCACATCACATATGCACCTCCTTGGCCACTCAGTGCACACATACACACCAAGAGCTTCTTTAAATATTCTCATCACATACACATACCCTTGAATGTTCACATCACACACAAACCCTTGAATGTTCTTATCACATATAGCTACAGACCCTTGAGACCTGATACACATATACCCTTGAATGTTCACCAACACACATGCACACTATTCACACATCTTTGAAACTTGATAGAATGCACATACACATTCTTGAGCATTCATGTCACATGCTCATGAATATTCTGACCTCACACACTGTTCAGGTTGTTTTGCCTGTTGCTTTCAGATCCTCAGATTCTTCCCCTGCTGTTTTGAGCAGTGTATTTGTGCATGTGTGTGTGCATATGTTGGGAGATATGCATGAGGATCCCTGTAAATCACATTTCTCAAGTTGTCTTGCCCACTGGAATCCAGCTGGATTTGGCCAATAAGAGGTACTGGTGAGAAACTGAAGAGAAGATACGCCAAGCATTTCTTCTCATTCTTTGCTTTGGTGGCATTTCCAGTATCTCTGTGGTCCCAGATACCACTGGCAGCCTTCCCTGTCTGCAGGATGGATGAGGCTCCTGGTAACATCACCTCCTTCTGTTCCTCCAGCCTGAGGAGTGGTGGTAGCTTCTGCTTTAATTTCTGGGCTGTTTCACCATCCCCTCCTGCATTTGTTTATCCATCTTACCAACACCTTTGTAACTAATATTAAATTCCCTCTTCTGAACTACCTGGCATGGATGGCTTTTTCCTAACTGGATCCTGATTGATGCTCAGCCAACACCTACTTTAGAATATTCTCATCCCTAGTGTACAGCCTTTTCTCTGACTGTGGTCAGAACTTTGTTGGATCAAACCCTGGTTTGGAATATTCAGTATTTGCTGAATGAGTATAGTGACAACTACTGGGATCCTTCTTGGATGGAGCTTGTTGCATCCCTAAATACCTGAACGTAGGGGCATCTTCAGTCTTGTCTAGGTGGATTATGAATAACGGTGGTAGCGACCAGCCTCATGGGGTTCTTGATCTTGGACAAAGCCTTTTTGGAGGCTGGAGGGTGAGCTTTCCTCAACTGAGTCATTCTTGTGGAAACTTAAAGGGACAGTAGGCACAACCAGGTTTTGCCTCAGTAGTCCAGATGTGACTTCAGAAGCAAGGGGACCTTCACCGATTGGGTTAAATAGGAAAGACTCTCTCTAAAGACTTAGTTGTACTTATGATCCTAGCTCTGAAAATGGTATGGGCAAGCCACCCACAGCTTCACCATTCTTGGTTTTAGAATTACAGGCATTACCAATCACTTATTTTTATTTGCAAAATGCTTGAGGAACTATTTAACCTTGAACAAATATGGCCAGCATGTGGACCTCATTTTCCTCAGTGGATTCACAAGCCTGCTGGGAGCGTTGGTGATTGGGGCAGATCCTATGCAGTACATGTAATTTCCACAGGGAGGCACCATACCCAAATGTATGGGCCATCCCTGCACCACAGGCCAAAGGCTGTGTTGCAGTTCAAAAAGGCCATGCTATCCTTCCCCAAAGCCTCTAGCATGTGAATGCCACTGGTGATCATCTGCCTATTTCAAATGGAGTCAAGGCATTGAAGGCCACTGAATATACAGCAGTACTGCAAGGCAGAAGTTACTGAACCAAATTGTTCAAGCATTAGGTTAGTGCATTAGAGTGAGCTAACAGGATTAAGCAGAATCAGGGAGAGGGTGTGAGAATTCAGGAGAATAAAATTTGAAAGGGTAAGAGGGAAGTAGGAAAAATGGTAATGACACCAACATCCAAGCATTTTCTCATGTTTTTGATGCAATTTAACATATCTTCACTTTGAGCAGATGGATCTGTTAGATTTTCCCTATAATCCAGTGCCCTAAATTTTTGTGATCCTCACAAGATGCCTGAGGAAAGTATAAGCATTATTAATTGACAGATGAGGGGAGTGTGGAGCTGGGGAAATTAAGTGGCATGCTAACTAGTCAGTGGCAGAGATGGGTCTTGAGTCTAGTGCTCATGAACCAGGGTGGCCAGGCCTTTGAAGGACACCCTTTGGTACTGGAAAGAATCAATGTGGTGGGGCACCCTGTTGCCTTGGGGTGGGCTTGGATGTCTTATCTGATCAGTGACTCCTGGCATGTAACAGGGAGACAGTGCTGGCCTTGGGCTCACACATGACAGTAAGTGAAGCAAGCTGGGCTCTTTAAATCACCTGCTTCTACCTCCTTCCTTTACATTTGGGAGTAACAAAGTGCAGAGATGGAGACTCGCTTGTCTTAGGTCTCAAACAGAGCCTAGGAAAAGGCAAGAGCCTCTGGGAGTCCTGATCCCCAGCCTGGACTTTTTCCCAGTGATCCATGTGGGGTATGCCTGGCCCCTGTGCGAGATCCTTGGTGCCTGCTGGGAGCCTTAGGAAGCCTCAGGACCTCCCGCACTGGCCTCAGATGTCAGGCCTCTGAGGAGCCAGCACTGCCCTGGTGACAGTATCTCCTCAGCCCCTGGCAGAGCTTCTTGGCCTTCATAAGATCTGTCGGGTAGAGCAGGGGATTACCCAGCATGCCAGGAGGCGGGGAGAACCAGACTCTTGGCTCTGCACAGTTTTCCCTGGGATTACACGATAATACATATGAAGAAACATTAACTCATCCAAGTTTATGGATTATGTGGAAATCAAATTGTAGTAATCTCCCTGGCCATCTGGTCTTGATGTCACTAGCTAGGACCTCCCAGAAGCCCCTTAGGCCTTCATGCAGGGCTGGGGCCAAGGTCTGACATGCTCCTTGTCTGGGGCCAGGCCAGCATTTTCCAAGGGGCCTAGAGGGCTGGGAGAGTTTGTGCCCTCAGTATCTGAAAGAGGAGGGCAGGGCAGCTGTAGCCAGATCAGGGATACAGGAAGTCATTCATTACCAATAATGCTGCATATGGACAGTCCACCTGTTTTGGTAATGAAAATTTGACTTTGCATTTTAGAAAGCATCATTAGGCACATTCCTGGGCTGGTGGGGAGGAAATTCTTTTCAAGATTTGATGCACATAGCTCCCATCCTTTTGAAGAAGTGGGGCCTGAGCAATGGAATATGGTTTTGAAGCCCCGGGCCTTCCCTGCCTCCCAAGAATTAGAGTCAGATTTTCTGCAACTGGTAATTTGGGTTCTGCATTCATGGCTAACAGGAAGTACAAGCCCACTGAAGCTATTGAAGGGGAAAGAAGAGAAACTGGGCAGTGTCCTATGGAGATGAAGCATGTGAATTCTGGCTCTGGCCAGCCCACCAAGTTTGAACTGTTGCTTAGTAGCTGTATGATTTTTGGGCAAATAAGTTGACTTATCTGTATCTCTGTTTCTCATCTGTTAAATGTGAATACAAATTGCCACACCTTCTGGCGTTTCTGTGAGGATTAAGGAAAAACACTTGTTTTTGCAGTGCTGGGAATGGAACCTGGGGCTTTGCATACGCTAAGTACGTGCTCTACCACTGAGCTGCACCTCTAGTCCTTAAGTGTGTATATTCAAAACCCATAGGTCACCTGGGTGATCACCAGGGTGGACACCTGTCACCATGGTCCCAGAATACACCCTGACCATCCTGATTATTAGTGGTGTTGTAGCTGATGTTTAGTTCCAGTTGTAAACACACACCAGTGGGTGAGTAGTGGTGATGGTGGTGGTACTGTGCTGTTTCATAGCTTCTGCTCATTTCCATGGTGTAAATATTCCCATCATAGCTGATTTTGAGGCATCAGTGAATGCAGAGTTGTGAAGAAGTACACACACCAAGTGTTGGTGTGAGCTGGTTCTTCTAGTGGAGCTCTAGCCCAGTACCCACTGGTATGAGAAGACTGCTTAACAAATGTTTCTATTACTAAACATTTGTAAATAACCACTGCCTCGAGAGCCCTCCCTCAACTCTGTTATCCCTGGCTCCTCCCCTACCAAGCCTCCAACCTCTGATTCATTTTGCTCCCATGATTTAGTCACTATTAGTTCTGATTGGTCAAGGCTATGCTAGACCAGTAGATAAACTGTTTGAATACCATGACTACCACAGGCCTGCTGCCCAAATGGTGCCAGGTCAGTACACAGAATGGCCTCACTTATGGGCATGATGCCAAGCCCACCACTATCAGCTGATTTGAAAGATGCCCTTCCCATAATTTCCCCCAGCATGGCTATAAGACAAGGCAGAGCCCTGTATCTGGAAGCTGAATTGAAGCAACAAGGAGGGAGTGTCTATCTTTGTTAAAATAGAGTTTGTACATGGTTTGCTTAAATGATTAAAATGTAATCAATATGACCTGCTTCACCAGCTTGAAATGCAAATACCATCACATTTCTTTTATTTCTCCAATTAGTTGCTTGAGCAGTCTTTATTGTTCAGAAGTTTAGGATCTCTCTTTTGAGGTTTCCTGCCCCATTGAATTGTTGTTGGCTCACTGTGAAGGAAGGAGATATTCTCCCAATGCCAGGATAAAAACAACTAGAGTCTGAATAATGGGTTGCTGCCAGTCTGGATTGGTGGCTACTGTTGTGCCC